GGGGGTAGTACTCATACCTATCCACCACCCACCCACGACAACAACAAACGACTCACGCACGCATAAAACAGGATAAACAACAGGAATCCTAAAGAAAAATAAAACGAAAAAAACCAACGCTCAACGCACTCAACAGTCAATGTGTGCGACTGCTTGTTGTTGTTGCTGCTATTGCTGTTGCTCTTGTTTTTTGCGTTTTGTTCGTTCAAACATCAGTCAGTGGCGCTTGAATCGAATCGAAAATGCAAAAAGAAACATCACAGCTCCACCAAACACACGCACTCACCCGTACACATACACACCCCCACAAACACACATGTGTTACACTTCCATGCGATGCCGTTTGCCAGAGAGAAGAGCACTTCGTCGAGAGAGAGCGAAAGAGCCTCTTTACAAAATGCACTTCTGCACAAAAGTATCCAAAGCATCCAACGTCGTCGTCGTCACAGATGCCGGCAGCAGAGCCAAGTTTTGATTATTATTAGTGTAACAAACGAGAAGACGTGAAAACACACAACAGAGAAAACTTACAGAGAGTCACCATGTTCTCTGCTCTCTGCCAACGGAGATGCAAACATGTTTTGATATCAAAACAAAAGTACGAAAGTCGGCGGCAACAACAACGACGACGACTACGGCCGACGATGGCCACATAATTGTAATTAATGAGGAGAATCGACGACACGATGAGACACTCGCAGTGTGCTGTTGTGTGCGTGTGTGTTGTATGTGCGACTCTTTTTTTGTTGTTTCAGTGTGCTTTGAATCCAACGAAATTGTGGGGAGAGGCGAAATTTTAAGAAAAACATGGAAAGAGCCATTGTTTGTGACAGTGTGATAAAAGGCGGGCAGTGATGGGAGTTATTAATTGACTAAAATAATATAAAGGGAGTATAATTTGGTATATTTAGTAGATATTACCGGGGGGAGGAAATCATGAATATTTTAAAAATGTAATTTAAGGATTTATAGAGATATAATAACTATTGTTTATGAATATTTTCTTGAAGGTCTATTACGATTTTTTATGGATATTTTTACAGAAACTTATTAAGTCCATAATGGTGGATAATCTAAAATATTCTCTCCAGAAGTTAAGAGGACCAAACATATATTTTTATAAATATTTTTTGGGGCATTATCAGGATCATAAACTTTGATAATTTAAAAATATTGTCTGTGAAATTATCTGAACCATAAACATGGATTCTTTAGAGAATATTTTCTGAAATATTATCAGAGCTTTATTTATGAATTTTTTTTAAAGAATATCGTTTGAAAGCCTAGCAGGACTATAACAATGTTTTTGTGGAACATATTCCCTTGAGTTTGGATGCAAGATTTGTGGAGTTTTAGGAGCATAGAAATATTTTAGAGCCACAATTTATTTTAAGAATATTTTCTAAAGAACTATCGGAGCATTAAATACGATTCATACGAATATTTGCTGAAGGTCATTAGCAGAATCAAAGGTGAGATTTTTTGAAATATTTTTTGAAGGTGGTTCAAAATAGCAAACATGTAAATCGATTTTTAAGAAAATTTTCTGAAGTATCGAAGAGAGAGTATTATAAACTTTTCAGGAATACTTCGTTTGAGGAATATTTTATAATGGAATAACAGACTGAAAAACATGGATTTTTTAAAAATATTTTTGAGAGACTATCGGAGGTATAATATTGGCATGTTTACCCTAATCTTCCCTTTAGAAATGTGCGTGAGATAGTGGACCGAAGTATTCCCCTTCATTTAATATTGAAAAAAATATTGAGATGTTGAAAATGTAAAGAGAATATTTAACATTTATTTCAAATTTTATTCGAATTATTACCAGATAAAGTTGGCCATATTCACATCAGATCACTGGTTGAGAGAAATATTTAGATATACCTAATTTGAAGAGAATTGCTGACTTGTATCGCGAGAGATATAAGTATTGAAAACTGTGACCCTTTGTGGTTGAGGTACAGAAGGGGTGGGCCGATACCTATCATCTTAACACCAGATCTTGTGATGAAAAATATATTTAGATTTTTGAAATTTAAAAAGAATCGAATTATAATTCGCAATTCAAAATTTTGGCCCCTTTGTGAGGGAGGTACCAGAGGGAATGAGCCGATATACCCCTTCAGATCTTGTATTAGTATAAATATTGAGATGTGTAGCATTTAAAACGAATCGGATGGATATTTAACAATTTATTAGAGATATAAATATTCAAAATTTTGACCCATTGTGGGAGATTTACCAGAAGGAATGGTCCGATATATCCCGCATTTTCACCAGATCTTGTGTGAACAACAATGTTTGAATGTGCAAAATTTTAAGAGAATCTGTTGCATATTTCACGTTTTTGAGAGTTATAATTATTCAAAATTTTGACCCGTTGTGGGGTAGGTAACAGAAGGAGTGGTCCGATATAATTCATCTTTACACCAGATCTTGTGTTAGGAGAACTATTGGGATGTGCCACGTATGAAACTAATTGGATGCTTTTTATGAGAGTTATAATAATTCAAAATTTTTACCCTTTGTGGGGGAGGTACCAGAAAAAGTGATCCGATACATTCCATATTCATGCATGATCTTATATTTATAGAAATATTGGAAGGTGGCGAGTTTGAAATAAATTAGATGCTCACTTGGTGTTTATGAGTTTCTTCGTTATTCAAAATTTTTACCCTTTCTGGGGGAAGTACCAAAAATTTTGGTTTGTTCTATCCCTTCTTCAAACCTGATTTTGCGTTGATAGAAATATTGAGATGTGCGAAATTTTAAAAGCATCGGGCCCTTATTTCGCATTTTATAGAAATTACAATTATTCAAGATATTAACCCTTTGTGGGGGATGTACTTGATGGAGTGGAGCGATATTGTCCATTTTCTCACCTGAACTATCCCCTAAATTTATACAACATTGGATTATCCTTTCTTGTTCTATTAGCTTAAGTATTTTCCATAAAAAATTTGACATTTTGTTGGGGAGGTACCAGAATGAGTTGGACCAATAATGCCCATTTTCGTACTCTTTCTATGTTTGATAATAATAAAAATAATACCATGTATCAAGTTTGGACCAAATCGGGTACTCTCTTCGAGAGTTATCGTTCGCGCCAACCAGCCAACCATACAGACAGACAGACGGACGGACATCGCTAAATCGACTCTAAATGTCTTAAAACCGATTTGGACCAAAGAGACCTAGGATCTAAAACTGTTATTTCGATGAGGCACGTTTTGGCCGTATCAAATGATATAGACCCTCTCTAGCCATATGACTGAGGGTATAAAAATCCTTTGGCACATCTATCCGGCGCTCCATCAGTATCTCTCATTTCAAATTTTTCAATTCCGGCTCATTGCGTTCGTCCAATACAAAGTATTTAATATATAGTACATTTTAGTAATTTTCGTACCCTTTTAGTACGAATTTTCAAACACCCAGGCTTATAACACACCAGAACGGAGTCTCGTGCGAAATTTCAAGATTCTAGCTTCAGCCATTTCGTCTGGGTCAGTCCGTAATTTCACTATATTTGTGCTACAAAAAATTAAAATTTTAATTAAATTTTTTTTCTATTTTTTAAACAAATTCCCAAATATTTTTTTTAAATTTTCCATAAAATTGATTTTTTTAAAATATATTTTGTGCTGCAAAAAATCAAAATTTTAATTAAAAAAAAAATATTTTCTATTTTTTAAACACATTTCCAAATATATATATTTTTTTTAAATTTTTCATAAACTTGAATTTTTAAAATATTTTTAAAGGGATTTATATAATTTTTGATATTTTAATCTATTTTAAGTTTGGTTTTATGGTTAGTGTTATCCCTCTGATTCATTTCCATTTATTTTTTCATAATTATAAAAATATATCCACTTTATTACCCCAAATCCCAATTATTTCCCACCGATTAAACATTTCCATCCCCGCCAACATGGTGTAAGCTTCAAAATGCCTACCAAAAAGGCGAATGCCTTCGCTTGGGGATGGCTTCTCTGCGAAATTTAAAAGAAATTTTTATTTTGGCGGGCCGAACACAAAGAATGAGAATAATAAGCCAAAGATGAGAGCAAGAAATTCAATGAGAAAACGGGGTAGCATCTTAATGATGTGGTGGTGGTGAGACTGTGAGAGAGAGAGAGAGAGTGTGGGAGCAATGGAAGTGGTAGTGGATTGTGGGGATGGTTTTTGTAAGTTTGTTTCGAGGAATGTTGTTGCTCGCCATATGGAAATTATGAGAGGCTACTGAGGCTGACTAACTGACTGACTGTTGAGAAGCATGCTTGCTTGTGAGGGAGTGTAATGAGTGTGTGGGGGAGGCGAAAGGCAGTGAGTAATGTAATGTTGTTGATTTTGTTGGGGGGCTGATGTTGACAGAGAGCCAGTGCTGCTGCTGCCGCCGCCGCCTCTGCGACAGAGAAACCATGCATTGCATTGCATTAGAAATTAGATTAAGTTTTTGTGCGTTAGAGAGCAGAGAAATTTAGAGAGAGAGCGAAAGAACTTTGCTGCCTAAGTTAACTGCGACTGCATTTGTGTGGTGCTGGCTGAGCACTGCATTTGTGGGCCCTTATGACTTTGTGTTATTTTCTTTGGGGAGGGGCTCAGGGGGGAAATAACTAATTCTGCACTGAGATGCCATGAGTTGAGATTTGCCTTTTCATTGTCGGCATCCAATGGGGGGAGAGAACAAGCAGCCTTTTGTTATTGTTGTCGTCTATGTTTTTGGCTACGTTTTGGGAGCAAATTCACATTACACATTAGTTAGTTGTGTTTAGTTAATTTTGTTCCGTACTTTTAGCGGCGTTGAGCAAAACTTGGCATTAGTCGCGCTCAGAGCCTCCAAACGTTAAGGATGTGCAGACAAAATTAGGAAAAATAGTCAAAAAAACCGAGAAAACACAAAACGAAAATTAAAAAAAAAATACAAAAAAAAATAATTTAGAAAAAAACACAAAAATATAAAATTTAATAAAAAATCGAATATTTATTTATTTTAAAAAATTTTTGAAATTTTTATGTGAGTCCTTGTAACCAGAAAAAGAAACAATTTTGAAAATTTTGTTAAGAAAAAAGTTGTCAAACAAAAAAAAAGAGGAAATTTATTGAAATTTCCCTCGTTTGGAAAAAAATAACAGTAAATTTTTTTTTGTCTGCGGTTAGTTTGTGTTTTGTGCGCCGGGATCCCCCCGCTCCCGCCCTTGTCATTGTTTGCCCTACGTGTGTGAGTCTTGTCGAGTCCCCGAGTCTGGTGGTGCTGCTGCTGCCATTAACCGTGTGTTTCGCTTTCCCCCCGCGTTCTATTCGTGCCGCTGTTTTTGAGAAAAAAAAAAACAAAACGCAAAATTTGTTGGTGTGCAAAGTTCTGTTTTTTTGTTGTTGTTGTGGCAATTCCTTTTTGTCCGGTCATGCGTGAGACTAGAAACTAAACGAAAAAGGAAATATTTGGAATAGAATTTCAAAAAGAAAAAAAAAACGCTAAAACTTAAAATCACTCTAACAAAAAATTCAAAAATTCTCAAGAAAACTTGTTTTTGACACTTGACAAACATTGAAATGGAAAACCCTTTCAATTTTGGACTGCTGTAACCCCCCTTCCCTTGCTTCTTGAGATTCTTAAGCAACCCCAAAAAAAAACCTTTCCATTTTGGGACCAAAAAAAATCTGAAAAAAAGCCAAAAACAAATCTCATTACATGCCAGAGGTTACAAAGAAAGCAGAAAATTAAGTTTTGAAAATTTGTTCCATTGAAGAAAGCAAAAACAACCCCCTTTGGCTGTAAACCCAACAACAACATTGAAAGTAAAAGGAAAAAAAGGATTTGGTGTCCGGTACCCAAGCAAAAAAAAAACATAACAACAAAAATAAATCACAACATCACACAGAAATAGAGAGAGAGTCAAGGAAACTTTCCTCCTGGACTCTTCAAGAAGGTAAATATTAAAAACATGAGCACATTTTCCTCAAAACAACAAAAACTTTATTTTGAATCCTTAACTTCATAACATCATTATTATCAACAACATCATCATCTTCTTCTTTGCTCTCTTCATCATCGACATTGTATTTAAATCCTTCTTCTTCATTATCATCATCGTCCTTACCTTCTCCTCCAACATCATTCTCCTCACCAGACTCTGTCTGTCAGTCGGTCACTCACACTGACCGGCTGGCTACTTGGCCACAACATGCATCTGTTGGTTGGTCGATTGGTCGTTCTGTCTGTCGTTTGTCTGCTGCTTTGTGTTTAGCCTGCCTGCCTGCATGTGCGTTCGGTTGTGTATGTTGTCGATCCTGTGTGGAACAGGTTAACCTTCAAATGTTGATTTTTCTAAAAACAAAGCTTTTTCGTTTCGGACATTTAGTTTCTTTTCACAACACAGCACAGACAGACAGACACCTTTACAACCATCGAACTCAAACCCAAACTTTGTTGCATAGAATTATTTAGAGATTACCCATAAAATTTTAATTTGTTTCAAGTTCAATACCCTGTATTTGGGGTATGGAGGGAATTTAAGTAAATAAATTATTAATGTTCGGAAAATTATATAAAATTAAAATTATATGAAAAATTAGGAAAATATAATTAGGGAATGAAGATCTCCGTGCTTCCCTCGAAATCATAATTTTCAAAATTTGAAATATTAGAATTTCGAAATGCAATTTCAGGTTATTGGAGTAAAAGGGGAACTTAACTTAAATAAATTATTAATGTTAGAAATTTAATTAAAATTATATTAAACTAATAAAATTATATTTATAATTATCCGATTTTGGGAGAATTTTTTTTTTTTTTAAATCAAAACTTTCAAAATTTGAAATATTAAAATTTTCGAAATGCAATTCTAGGTTATTGGAGTAAAAGGGGAACTTAAATAAATAAATTATTAATGTTAGAAATTTAATTAAAATTATATTAAATTATTAAAATTATATTTATAATTATCCGATTTTGGGAGAATTTTTTTTTCGAAATCATAATTTTCCAAATTTGAAACATTAAAATTTTCGAAATGGAATTTTAGGTTACGAGGTGGAAAAGGGGCAAATATATCGCTCCTTGTTTGAACTATTGACATCATTCTCATATGGACCTCAATGGAAGCTGTTGCTCAACTTATTTTTAAATAACCAAAAAATTAAGCGTTTCGATCACATACCAGGTGTGGAAATCTAGATCATTTGGAAATGGCTTTCAGCCATGATTTATAATATCTGACCAGATTATCCTTATATGAATAATTAGGAAAACATAATTAGAGAATGAAGATCTCCGTGCTTCCCTCGAAATCATAATTTTCAAAATTTGAAATATTAGAATTTCGAAATGCAATTTTGGGTTATTGGAGTAAAAGGGGAACTTAAATAAATTATTAAAGTTAGAAATTTAATAAAAATTATATTAAATTAATTAAAATTATATTAATGATTAATTATAATTATCCGATTTTGGGAGAGATCTCCCTGCTTCCTCGAAATCAAAATTTTCAAAATTTGAAATATTAAAATTTTCGAAATGCAATTTTAGGTTAGGAGGTGGACAAATAAAAAAAGGACAAATAAACCGCTCCCTGTTTGAACTATGGACATCATTATCATATAAAACTCAATAAAAACTGTTAATTAACCAATTTTTAAATAACCAAAAAAATGAAGCATTTCGATCACATACCGGGTGTGGAAATCTAGGTCATTTGGAAATGGCTTTCAGCTATGATTTATAATATCAGGCCAGATTATGTTGGTGTTATTTTAGTTTCAGAGAGAATTATCGAGATTTCAACATCGAAGATCAAAAATTTGTCTCTGTATCTCAAGAAATTGCTTCTCAGATTCTACTTAAATTCTTCTAGAAATCAGAAGGTCTTCCACATCAACATTTAGTTTAGATGCCAGGTGAGGGTCTATGGATATTTTTTTAGAGATTTTATGTGGAAAATTTTATATTTTCATCCCACGAATTTTTTTCTTCATAAATGGATACTTCCCTGGTTTAAAATACTAAGGCTGATCTAATATTTTTAAAGCTTCCGCAATCTAGTGTTTTTTTTTTCACAACTAGTGCTTATTTCGTGATTGGCCCATATCTGATTGAAAGGATAAGTTGAAGGAATATGGCTGAGCATACCGGAAAATATTGCGAATATTATTTTTTGAAAATCATAGAAATGTTGCAAAATGTGTGATAAAATTGGAATCGGAATTTTTGTTTTCAAAAATTTAAGGGGAAAATATTTATAAAAAAAACAGAAAGAAAACAGTTCGGCCGAGCCAAACTTTTAATACCTTTAACAGATTGGGAAAACATTTTAAAATTTAAATGAAGAAAATCCATTAAAAATGCCCAATATCAGGTGTTATGGGGATATAAGAAAATGTGGACCTCTGCAGCCAGCAAAGGTGGTGCAAACACCAAGTTTCTAATAGTTCCGATGAAAAACGTAGTTAAAATCATCAAAATACCGAATAGTGGGAAATACCGTTATATGGGGGCTATATGAAGATGTGGACCTGTATAGGCAATTTTTTTGTTATATAATGTAGTATCGATTACGAACTTCAAATGCGAAATTTGAAACCATTCCGAGGAATAATGTCGCCAAAGTCATCTAAATACCGAATAACTGGAGATACATTCATATGGGGGATATACGAAGACCTGGACCTACATATGCAATTTCCGGTCACAGGCTGTAGCACCCATTACGAATTTAAAATACGAAATTTGAAACGATTCCGGTGAATAATGTCGCTAAAATTCTTAAAAAAATCCGAATATTGGGAGGTACCATTATATGGAGGCTGTACAAACATGTGGACCTGTAAAAGCAATTTTCTCTCGTATGATGTAGTATCCACTACGAAATCTAAATACTAAATTTGAAAAATTTCCGATGAAAAGTGTGACACAAATCATAAAAAAAAAAAAACCGAATACCTAGAGGTATAGTCATATGGGGACTATACCAAAACTTGGACCTATATTCACAATTCTATGTAGGGATATTGTCTACATGACGAGGACAAACAATTATTTTCTGTAAAAAAATTAACTTTTGTTCGGGAAGATAACAGAAGGAGGGGGTCGATATTGCTCATTTCCGAACTAGATCTAAATTTGATAATAGTAGTAGAAAGTTCTCGCAACTTCGTCAGTGAGAAATCCGCCTTTAAAACCCGCTTCGACATTACGTGTTAAGTCTTACTACCTCCTACCAAATTTTCAGACTTTCAAGGTTTTATACATTATTCAAGATTTTTCTTTGCGGAAAGAATAATGGGTAAATGTTTACCTGTTACACCAAAAGGTCTTAAAAATATTTCATTTTAATGTTTACCCAGGAGGACATTAGTAAAACCATTGCCCACATCCAATTTTTCTGTTCAAAACTATTTCAACGTCTCCATATATTAGCCCTGGAAACCAACAGTGACCTTAATATCAAATGTCAGCTAGACACTAAAAGTGATCCAAAATAAGTACCATTTAGTACTGTTCGAACATTTAGAGTATGCACTTGCAAAACCCCCATATCAACAGGGACACCAACAGATACCAATCAGAACCTCAACCTCAAGACCTCAATATCAAATTTCAGAATTATATCCTCTCCCTTCCATCAAGACCAAATTTAGTAACTTTTTGGTATTTGACGTATATTTATAAAACACACATCCAAAAACACCTACATACCTTTAACCATAGACAACAACAGTGACGTTTTTATAAAATTTCGTCTCTATTCCTTCACCCAATACCAAGGTTAGTATTATTTAGTAATTTTTGAACAAAGACCTCAATATCAAATTTCGGGATCCTAGTTCAATTCCTTCACCCAATTGGTCATCAGCCATTTGATATTAGTACTACTTTCTACAATTCGGTCAAATATAGGACACATTTCCAAACTTCCGTAAAATTTTAAATACAGATACCATCTGTAATCTAAATATTAAATTTCAGAGTTTTATGTCTATCTCTACACCCAATACAAAAAAATAGTACCATTTAGTATCATTCGTACAATTGTAGTACACATTTCCAAAACTACCTCCATATGCCCAGGCTAAACATAAACAGCGACCCTATTATCAAATTTCAGATTTCAAGCAATTAGCAATTATCACGCAATACGAAAGTGTACCCAATCTAGTACTATTTAGTAATTTTCGTACATTTGTTGTACGCATGTTCTCAACCACCTCTTTATCACAAACCTACCGCCAACAGGGACCGCAATACAACATTTCAAACTACAATACATTTTTTTTCCATTTAGTACAGTTCGCACACTTAGTATACATTTGCAAAACCACCGTCAAACTTGCTTCCCAACATCGATTCTCTCTTTTTAGCTCTATCCGTTCACATAATACCAAATCGTACCATTTTACAACTTTTCGTAATTTTATTTTCGTATTTCCAAAAACCCTTTGTTGGATCTGTCCTGCAATCAATCAGTGAATTTCTGACTCAATTTTAGTACTTTTCGTACCCTTTTAGTTCGAATTTCCACAAATCCAGAAGTTAGTCAGTTATTTTACTACTCCTTAATATATATAGAATATAAGGAACTATATATACAAAAAATCTTGATGTCTCCCGCAAGTGACCACCTTAGGAGGGTTTCTTGTGCAAAAGTCCTCTAAAAAAATTTCAAAATCATACCTGTCTTTCCTGCACCTAAAGATAACAAAAAATTCGTTCTTTAATATAGACGACCTTCTGAAGGCCATATTTACTTAGTCATTGATAATGAATATTTTTATAAAAATTTAAAAAAAAGAAAAAACATCAACAACAACATTTGGCCACTATTTAAAACAGCATTTATCAGTTGGTTATTTTTATTAACATTGGTAATCTTCGTTTCTCTGTGTTTTGTGCTGCACACATGCATAGGATTTTTTATTTAATTCATTTTTGTAT